CGCTCAGCGAGGAGCTGCCCGCCTCCAGCCCCCGGGAGCCCGGCCTGGCAGCTCCTGGGCCAGCTGCCAGCGTTTGGCCCACGTGTGACCCGCTGGGCTGGTCCTGGTCTATCTCCTGCCCACATCAGGAGTGGCCACTAGCCCCACACTGTCAGTTCGCAAAGGGGGCTCGAGGCTGAACCCCACGGGCACCAGGAGTGGGACTGACAGCCCCACGTACTCCATAGAGGCCCCCAAGCAGCCACTAGGGCCCTGGAGAAGGGCCGCTCAGCTCCCCACAGATCCATCTGCAGCCCCCCCGGCCAGCAGCCATGGACTCGGGGGAGGGGTAACCTGCCCTCTGTGCCCAGCCCGGCCCCAGCCCAGGGGGTGGCGGAGTTGGAATTTTCTGTAACGTTTTGTATGAACGTGGTGGGTGCCTCGGTTTCCCCAGGTGGTGGGAAAGGGCTGGTGGCTCTTCCCAGAGGCCCAGGGACGCAGATATGGCTCCCACCTGGGGGCCAGGTCAATGGAGGGTTCCTGAAGACAATGGCAAAGCCAATCACCGGGACATTTGGTACCTAGCAACTAACGACCCTGGATTTCCCCCCTCCCCCCCTCCCCCAGCTGGGGAACCTGGAGGGCCAGGCCTGGGAACACAAACAAAAGGAGGGGGGGGACAGGGCAGGAGCCAGGGTCTGGCACACTGAGGGGCCTCCCAGAGACCATTCCAAAGCTGGGGCCCTAGCCCCCCTCCTGTGGGTCTGTGACGGGGGCAAGGGTGCTGGGAGGATCAAATGCAGGGCGTCCAGCTCCAGTGCGGGGTGGCTGCGCGGGGACCCCCCAGGCTGCAGTTCCAGGCAGGGCGGGGCCCCTCTGGCTGAGCCGTGGGTCTGGCCCCATCCCTCTCCCCACTCACCGCAGTGCCACTCATCCGACCCGTCCAGGCAGTCCTCCTGCCCGTCGCACACGAAGGCGGCCTCCACGCAGCCCAGCACCTCGCAGGCAAACTGGCCCTGGGTGCAGAGGAGTCGGGGGAAGGGCAGCCCTGCCGGAAGAACACACGGGCTGGGGGGCTGGCACTGAACCCCCTGAGGGGTGCCCAGCGCAGAGCTTTCCTGCCCCCAGCAGCCCCTCACACGTGGCTCTGCCCCACCGCTGGGGGGCTGGATCCCGGCAGGTCTAGG